CCTGGTTCTAACCAGTGCCTCTTCTCCATGTGCCATTGGAGTAACTTGCACAGTCACTCCAGTGATTATATACTCCTCTGAAATATATATAGTGTATTTGTCTATATGCTTGCTTTCTGTAAGTTCATGGCACAGTTAGATTCCTGGATTGGCTGTGAATGCATGCAAATATGCAGCCATTCTGTGCAGCAACCTCTGCACAAAACACCTCCTTACTGAACTGCCTCCTTCTGGGCTAAGCTGCCTGCCTGCTCGCCCTGTGTTTCTGCCATCTGAGCCAGCCCTTAGGGAGGTTTCCTGGAATTCTGTGTCAAACAATAAGATGGAGGCTTTCCACATCCAATCACAGCAGCTTTATTCTGACCAGTCAGGGCAGTGGCTTTTGGGCCAAGAAAAATGCAAGGATGTGCATGAGGATGGACCAATGAGAGACCAGGGATCAGAGGCTCCTGTTCAGATGAGCTGGACTCCCTGTGTCTCAGAGAGTACACTTGCCACTGAAGAATGAAGAATGTCTGCATGGCTGAGCTGAAACACTGAAGTGGTCTCCCCAGAGCAGAGTGAAGCTGACCAAAGCAGAGTGGAGTAACAAGGGTGGCACAAAGTGGGCAACGTAGAGGAACCGAGAAGAGCTTTCTAGCCAGAGTGGTCTGGCCCAGGGCCCTCTGTTCCCACAGCTGTTCTGCACCCCACTGTTCTCACAGCTCTGCTGCATCCCAGTTGGGCTGGTCCACAGCAGCACTGTTTCCATAGCCACACTGTGTCGCTGTTGTTGGTACTGAGTAAAGTTTCCCTCTTGATGGTACCTGACACTAGGGATCCTTGTTGGCACTGAATTGGCCCTCAGGAACACAGGATGACAGGAAAGAAGGAGGGAAGAGGGGAAGAGACTTCAAGAAAACCCAATCCTGTCCTACTAGCCCTGTGTTCTGCTGAACTTCTATAATTAACATTCTGTTTAGAAGGTCACCAGGGGGTGCTGTGGATCTTCTCAGTGCTGCAAGGCCTGAAACAACTGCAGTGATTCTAAATGCTGGACCCTGCCCCATGCTCACTGGCCTGAGTTAGAGGTGACAGCAGGTGCTTCCTCTCAAGGGACAGACTCAGAGATCACAACCACCCCAGCCTCCTCCTGACAGTGAGCTACAAACTGGGCAGAGGACCCAGAATGAGGGTGTTTGTGGGCTCATATTTGCATAATGCCCCACCAAATGCATCCTTCACCCCAGAGGCTGGAGAAGGAGGGAGAGGGACACCTGAGAGACCAGCATCAGCCTGAGGCCAGAGGACTGTGGAAAGTCTGTGCTTGGACCTGGCCTCCTCCTCCCCTTCCTCACTCACTGCCGGGATGGGGGCCTTTGGTGGGATCCCTGTGCATTTCTCCTTCGTTCCTGACCTGCGTCTATTTTCATTTGAAGGTAAACTTCTCAGGCTGTGTTAACTCTCCAGCTCTCACTGTGTCCCCAGGAAAGATGGTCACTGTCACCTGTGGCCCCAGCAGAGGAGCCATCACCAATGGTCACTGTTTGTAGATGGTCAAACAGGAGTTTGGGCACGTCCCCATAACACTGATTTATGACACAAGCAATAAACTCCCCTGAAGCCCTGCCTGTTCTCAGACTCTCACTTCTGAGGCGAAGCTGCCCTGACACTCCCCAGAGCCCAGCCTGAAGGAGTGGCTGAGCTACTGCTCACTGCCCTGCAGCAGAGCCCGGCGGGCAGAGAGACCCAGACAGGGAACCAAGACATAGCTCCCTGCTGTCACGAGCCTGGGGACAGATGTGGTTCCTTGACATGGGGATCACGTGACCAGACTCCTGTGCTCTCAAGGCAGCCTGATGTCCACCCTCCACAGAGAAACGGTGAGGGACAGGGTCGGCCTTGTCTCCCATTCCCTGTGAGAACAGTAATAAACATCAGGGATGAGTTGAGAGGAAGTTGTCCAGAAAGAGTAGAATTCAATGACCTTATGTTCCAAAAATAGCAATGATGTCTGTATGGAATGTAAGGTCTGAGGTGAAATGAGTTTCACCTAATTGAAAGGAAAAAAAATAGAGAAAGAAAAAGCACATTTTGTAGATTATAGATGCTTATTTTTCAGATTTATTTAAAAAACAATGTGAATATATTCTTAGATTTTTTAATATATTGAAAAAATATAATTTGGGTAGAAAGGATAATTCTTACCTAACAAAATGAGTTAATTTGTGTCCCTGAGTAAGATCCGTTGAGTTCTGACCCAGGACCCATCCGCACCACTCAGGGCCCAGGGCTGTATTTTCTATGAACATCGGCTGTCGGTTTCCCAGGGTCCCAGCTGGAGACGAATGTGCCTCGGGACCAAGTGCACCTTGAGTCTCAGCCACAGCAATGCAGGTGGTCTGTACATGAGATTTAGATTGAAACTAGGTTGGCCAAGCGAGGGCTGGGGGCTGTGGGAGTGGGTTGAATGCGTGTCCCTGTGAGAGGGTATAGTCTTTGATGGGGCTGCAGCCCCTGCTACCAACTCATCCCTGGTGTGGGGCTTGGGACACACCGCCCCAAATTACAGCCAATCCATGGACTATGTATACGTGATGAACTGAGCTTTGAGAATCCATTTAAACATTCTGGTTTGTTGCATGTACAGTATAAAAATCACGCTACCACATAGGAATATGCACACACACAGACTGCACCAAACTCAGTCAGGTGGTCTTCCCACCATACCCCTTCCCTGACTGAGATCACTTCAGGGTCTGGCCCATAGCATCCCACAATTCATCTAGTCACATAAAATCAGTTTATTTTATTTTCTCATTTTTAATTTAGTACGTGGATACAATGATTTCATGATTTTATCCTGCTTCTGTTTTTGTTATTTCCTGAGTTGACCTTTCTGGGACAATCATGATGTAGACTGGGCATATACATTTCTCTATCAAACAGGCCCCACAACACTCATTGTTGAGCAGAAACCTTGTGTTTTTTCAAACTCTCCATTGGTGAAACTCTCCATTATCTGCCATGTATCAGTTTCCACTGCGAACAAGCAGAGCTCACAGCAAGAGGAATTTGTAAGTAAAGTGCTCCAGAGAACATGTTTTGCACGGTGCCCTGCAAAGCTGCTTCCTCTGCCTGAACAAAAGGTCCCCAGGAGTCACCCTGCAAGAACCGTGGGAATGACAGTTGTGGTCAAGGACATGAGAACGTTGACAGACAGTAAAGAATCACACATCAGCCTCTCGGAACTCACACAGGGCCTTCCTTTAAACCACCTCTCGTCCCTGGACGGAAGAGCCCGCTTGCTCCTCGGGGTGGCAGCAGATCCACAAGGAGGAGAGCCGGGCCCCCAGGGGAGAACTGCACACAAGGAGAGAACCTGGTTCTGCACAGAAAGGACAGGCCTCCAAGGGACTGTCACTGCTCTGGACTTGAACCTGATCTAAGAGGAGTTTGTAGAAGGGACAGCACCTCAGTGCTGGGCCTCTGGTATAAAATATAAACATTTGTGTGTATGTGAATGTGTATATTTATCTGTACATGTTCATAAATATATGTATATGTAATATATGTGTGTACATGCATATAAATATGTGTACATATACATTAATGCAGTGGGTGAATTTTAAATTATATAATTTTAACTGAATGAATGAACAAATCAATTAAATATATTAATTAACCAAAGATCCATGTTTTTCTAGTGGGCTGATTTCTCTCTGATCTGGAATTTCTTTGCTATGCACTCTGAGAAGTAGACGACAAAAAAGGAGTAGAGAAGTGACCTTGGAGGTGGGAAAGCTGGTAAAAGAATGAGGGGAAGAGGTGGAGGAGGAGGGAGAGTCATCAAGGACAGCGCTGCCCCAGGAAGGGGAGAGGAGGAGGAGTGGGGCAGGAAGAGCTCTGACCACAGCCCAGGTCTGGGAGGACTCAGACAGGCTGAGTGCCTGGAAGTCTCCTGCAGGTGGGGGGCCCCTTAGAGGACACGGCTTCCAGCAGGAAAGCTGGGCTCTAGTCCTCTGTGCTGCCCCTCTTTGCCTGAAGCCACATGAGGCTGTGGCACTGCAGGTGGCCTCTGCTCTCCCCTGCAGGGTGTCTGGGAAGGAGGTCTGAGTGGTGCACTTCCAAGGCCACCACTAGGGACTGTGATGCTGTGTCCCACCCTCAGGACAGGGGCTGTGCCCTTCTGCTGACATGGGCTCCTGCATTCACAGAGGTACTGCCCACCTTGCTCTAGCCACACGCTTGTAGGGCAGGCTCTGTAAGACACCCACTGTCTTACCTGTTGACTCCTGTGGGAGACACCAGGGAGTCCTCAGGCCCAGTGATCCTCTGGAGCCTCCTCCACCCTCCTCTGCCTGGGTCCCAAGATCCTCCTGCTGCAGTGACCCAGGCTCTGGCCTGGTCCCCATCCCATATCCACTCTGGTCTCTGTTCCCCTCGTGTAGCTTCACTCTCCAGCAGTCCTCAGGCTCTCCTGGGTCAGGAGTCATATGTTCCCGAATCCATGGTGGTCATGCCAGTACTGCGCCTGCATCATTCCCTGTAAGGATGACTCTTGTCCCCTGTACCAATGACTCAAATGTGTTGGAAACACAGGAACCAAGCAGACAGGTGAAAACTAGAGTTTGGATCAGCTTGAAAGAGGGGCAGTTTGCCTGGGGACCAGCAGAGGGTGCCACAAGACCCTCTCTAAAAAAAAGGAACTCCTGGCTAGGCAGCCCTCCAGGGACTAGAGTCCTAGGTGCTGGGCACTTTGATTCCTGTGAGGACAGGGCAGGGCCTGTCCTCTCTGGACCCGGATCAGCTCCCTACACGTGTCCCTCAGTGTGGTTCCAACTACTACTTCCTTCCCAGTCTTACCCAGGGGAAGCCAATGTGCCAGGCTGGCCTCTCCCAGTAAAGGTTCCAGACCCTGTGGGTGAACCTGGGAAAAAGGCAAGGGAGGGGGACTCATTTGCATGAGCAGCCCCTCCTCCATGCAGCCAGCTGGGAGGAGATAAGAGAGGCCTGGGCAGCCCAGCCCCAGTTGTGTGGACTGAGGAGCAGCCTGCTCACCATGGCCTGGGCCCCCGTGCTCCTCGTGCTGCTCTGTCACTGCACAGGTAGGGATGGGCCCCAGAGACCCACAGCACCTGCACCCTGACCTTCTGTTCACTCCACGTGTCTGTGTGTCTGCAGGTTCCCTCTCCCAGTCTGTGCTGACTCAGCCACCCTCTGTGTCTGCATCTCCTGGAGCCACAGCCAGACTCACCTGCACCCTCAGCAGAGACCTCAGTATTCCTAAAAACATGTACTGGTACCAGCAGAAGCCAGGGAGTGCTCCCCGGTTTTTCCTGTACTACTACTCAGACTCGGACAAGCAGCTGGGACCTGGGGTTCCCAGTCGAGTCTCTGGATCTAAAGACACCTCGGCCAATGCTGCACATTTGGTCATCTCTGGGCTGCAGCCTGAGGACGAGGCTGACTATTACTGTGCTACATGGGGCAGCAGTAGTACTTGCACGGTGCTCCAGAGTCATGGGGAAGTGAGACTAAAACCCTCGCTGTGCTCTCTCTGCCTGTGGCTGTCACCCTGGATCTGCCTGAGACCAAGTCAGACTCAGGTGGCACTTGTCACTTTTCAGTGGGAAACTCTTTTCCTAAGACCCATGGCTGCACAACTATTTTCCTATTGTCTGCAGTTAAAAATTTTCTTTCTCTGTTGTTAATATCTTCTCAGCCTGCTTATGTCTGCACAGGCCTAAATCAGGTCTCAGGACTGTGTAACCCCCAGGGGCATGATAGACAAGGAAGGAGGGGGTTGAACCCTCCTCTGCCCACCAGGGTCTAGGCCTGGATCAGAGGCCCGGGTGGGCTGAGGGCTTCTGTCGGGTCAGTGGGTCCAGCGCAACCTAGGCTCACCTCCCAGGAAACTGCTGCAAGAGTGAGTTTAATTCCGTCTCCTGTGCTCATTGTGTACTATTTGTAGGATCTGTTCTCTCCTCCTGGGGCTCAGGGGAAGCAGGTTTCTCTAGTTCCAGACATGCAAAGCCAACAGAATCTCCTCTACATTGAAATATGATTGTGTGTGACCTCTCCATGTGCACCTGGATGTCAGCAAAAAGCTCCCTCATGCCCTGGCCAGGTGGATCAATTGGTTGGAGCATCATCCTATGCAGAAGAAAGCTTGCATGTATGATTCCTGGTCAGGGCACATACTAGGTTGCAGGTTTGGTTGTACGGGAGACAACATATCAAATGTTTCTTCTTCCCATCAATGTCTTTCTCTTTCTCTCTCTCTCTCACCCCTCTTCCTCTGTATCTCAAATCAATAAACATGCTCAGGTGAGGATTTTAAAAAGGGGGCTCTTCCATCAGTAAGGCAAGATCTGTAATCTCTGCCTTTCTCTTCATCCCACCGTGAATAGGGTCATGCCCAGGTGTCTGTGAGGCTGGAGACATGCAGAGTTTGGGGACAATCAGTTGGATAAGATGCATCTGATAAAACATTTGAATGAGGACTAGAGATGTGTGGGGGATTTATGTCACACGGTAGTGGGTCAGGAAACCAACTCTTCCTATCTGGGACAATCTTTCCCTGGCCTGGTGTCTGTCCATTTTCACCCTTCTCTCTGCACAGGTGAGCTGCTGAGGGGATCCTGGACATGGGCCCTCAGGAGCACATCCCTCTTCCTCTTTCCCGTCCCCTAGGACAGGTCTGGCTATTTGTGTGGCTTCAAATGCTACCTGTGTGAAACAACTCTCTGTAGTGGCTCAAATGTCCCTCACAGTGTGGCCTGACCAGAACCCCCTGGGAATGCCATCTGGGCCTCCCCCAGGGCTCTCACTCTCTAGAGTCTCCAGGTGCCATGGACACAGATTTGAGTCCCCGCCCTGTGTCTCCCTGAGCTGCTGCTGACTCTCCTCCATCACGTGTACCTGCACCACCTCTCACCCACATCATTTATTACTGAGAGAGCCTCTCTGGGGGTGGGGGTGCAGTGCTTCTCCAGGAGCGGGACCCCACATCCATCCAGCTGCCCCTGGCTGTGACCACATCTGCTACTCACGAGGCTCAGGAGACTGGAGAAGGGCTATGGAAATGCCACGCCCACTGTAGTAAATGTACCCAATAAAGCCTGATGTGGGGGACACCACAGGATATTGGGGAGTTTGCATTTGTAGGTGGTGCCAAGTGAGGTGATCACCCCTTCTGAATCTGACTTTGGGAAGCTCGGATCAGCTGACACTTTCTGAGGATGGGAGACACCTTGCTTATCTAGGGGACCCTATGTATGATAGCAATTGACACAGATTGTGTGGTGATCAGTTTGTGTCTAATATCACAGAGTCCCACCCCCTTAGTAATGCTGGGGGACACTGGAAAATTGGCAGATTTGATCTTTTCACTGCACTGAATGGTTACAAATACATTTCACGTTTTAAATTTATAAAGACAGTGTCAGACCCCTCCCCTGCTTGCCTCAGTTCTCCCAGCTGGAGCAGTGACCGGCTCAGGGGATCCCTGGGGTTTGTGGGGGTGAAGCAGGTATAGCAGATCTTGACCAAAAGCCCCAACACCACCCTCAGAGTGGCTTTTACCTGGTCATCACTCTGAGTGACATACATACTTGGAAAGGTAGTCAGTGCTTTAAAAAACATGACCCTGTCACGGGCTCCAACAGGCAAAGCCCAAGGAAGAAGAGAGTCTTAGAAGCAGGACAGAGTGGGATTCAGGGAGTCACACCCCCTTGTCAGGGGATCCACAGCCCCTCACACGGGCACTCTGAGCCTCTATGAGCCAGTGTTGTGCGTGCACGTTTAGGATCCACCTCCTTTCCTTTCAGCTTTTAAGCTTCTCCCTCAGGTGAAGAGAGGTATTGCATTTAAATAACTTGACATTGTTGTGAAATCTAAGATTCCAGAAACTCAAGGTTTTGCAGAGATCCCACAGGTGCGCCCTGGAGAAGACCGAACAGGCTCTCCTGTTTCCTGTGTGAACAACTATTCCAGGGCCCCTAACCAGTGAGGTCCAGAGTGATGAGTAAAATCATGGATCTCCTCCTCCATTCTTCAGAGGGGTCATAAGATCTGGAGAAATTGTGACGTGGATCCTGCAGGGAGTACTGTGGGCCTGTCCTAAGGAGAAGAGGGTCTGAATTCTTCAATCTGGAAAACACATGGGGATGCTCCAGGGATGCAATAAAAATAAATTTAAAACTGAAAATATGCCAATTGTGTACTTAAGAGTTGTGTATCTGCTTCTCCCTGGCCATAGAAGATTTGTTATGAGAGAAAAATTAAGTGAAACACCAGCACCGATGTGAGATGATGTCTGTGTAGGTTGGGGGTTCAAGGTGGGTGGGGCATTGGACCCAAAAGACCCATTGGATAGGGCTGGCGATCAATATGTGATTTTCAGAATAAGTAGGAATGGGAAGGAGGTAGCAGTGAGGGGCACAATGTTGTAATAACAGGTAAGAACACAAAGAGGGAGGTATTGGTCATGCAAATACAAGGGGAAAGTTGCTTTGGGCCATGCATTGGGTTAGTGGAGTGAGCAGGGGCACCAGGAGGAGCTCCTTAGGAAGTGGCAGGAGAGCTGATGAGGCAGGCAGAGGCCAGACTGCTGGGATGACTGCTGCTGAGAAGGAAAAGCATAGTCACAGAGGGACCGTCAGTGGGGAGTGACGTGCACACATTGGTGTCTGCTCACTCCATGTCCAGCTAAAGTGAGAACACAGTGAGCAGGGCAGGGAGACAGGGGAGGGCCTGTCTGTCCCATCCCAGAGGAGAAGATAGTGGCCAGATCTGGGTGAGTGTAGTGGAGATGAAGACAATAGAGAAGATTCCAGATGGTTTCCTTGTGGAAATGCAGGCCTAGGGCCTTCTTGGAAGGTCAGTGTTGGGGTGCTGATGGGTCTAGGATGGCTCCATGTTCCTGGTTGGGATGTGGTTGGATGACCATGGTCGTATGCAAGAGGGGCAAACATGTGTGAACCAGGGGTTAAGGACAGTGAATATCTGTGTTTTGTTTTCTTTTTTATTCACTGACTTACTTTTGGGGGAATTAACACAAATTACAGAGCCACAAATAAACCTCATCATGTTGCAGACAATTGGTGCTACAATAAGCCAACAAGGCCACAGGCACCCTCTGGTTTCCATGTGGTCTCTGTGCAATGCGGGGAGGGGGTGTTTTCTGGACTTATTCAGAGGGAAGCATTGAGGCTTCACAGGAGTACAATACGCACCTTTGAACTTAATAAGTGAGAGTGGGCAAGACTTCAATGCTTCTGCACATCCCCAGAGATCCAACCCTGTCCCGATTCACACAGCCTGTGGTGAGAGGGACCCATTTACCCTGCTGGACCACTGAGGGGCTGTGGGGACCTGGCTGCATCCTGGGAGGGGAAGAGCTGTGACCATCTCATGTGGATGCTGTCAGGGGGGTGAGCAAAAAGAAAGCAGATCTCACCTCTGAATGATTCTGGTCTCTTCCTGGAGACATCTCCTATGACTGGTTCTCAGTGGACCCGGGCACCGTGGCAGGTGACGATGGGACAATTGTGAGGTTTATGGTACTGGGAGGACATGGTGAGAAGTAAAGTATGAGGAGAGAGAGGATCTGGTAACCCTGACATAGAGGATATGCAGGGGTCTTCATACCCTTGGCACGTCCTTTGTCTGAGTGGAGGACATATACACTCCGAGGGCTCAGGCACCTATGGGGTCCAACAACAGAATTATCTAAATGGAAGGAGGAGCAGGAAAAAGACCTCATGCTGAGGAGGTCATATCTTTGAAGTAAGGACAGAGACGTGGGGACCCGTGCAGGACAGCCAGGAGCCCAAAGAAAGCAGAAGCCCCTGCCCAGTGTGGGTAGGTGGGTGCCAGTCAGGACTGAAGTCCAAGCCTCACTCTCTCTCCTAAGTTCCTGCCTCTCCATCCTGTCCTAAGTGAGTGTGGACTCTGAAACAGCAGGGGGCGCTGTGGGCCCATCCCTGAAGGTCTGTGGGGGATCTCAGCTGGGAAACCAGGGCCTGAGCCCAGTGCCCTCTGCTCTGTGCTCACTGGGGACCAGCAGCTGTGACCTCCCAGGCACTGCCCCCTCCCAGAGGCTCCCACAGCCCCACACCCTCTCAACTTTCACCAGCTTTATCCCCAGGGACCCAGGAGGAGGAAACAATTTGCATGAAGGCTCCTCTCTGCCCTCCCAGGAGGAGACTAGATAAGAGACTTTGTGTGGTTCTCTTCCTTGTGGGCTCAGAAGCAGAGTGTGGGCACCTCCACCATGGCCTGGACCCCTCTCCTCCTCACCCTCCTTGCTCACTGCTCAAGTGACTGACTGAGGGAAGCCAGAGTAGTGACTATGGGATACACCTGGGTCACCCTTCTTCTCTCTGACTGAGAACACCCTGTGAGAAATAACCTCATCTCAAGTCTCTGTGTCTCCACTTTTCTGTTCCAGGGTCCTGGGCCCAGTCTGGGCTGACACAGGAAGCCTCGGTGTCAGGGTCTGTGGGACAGAAGGTCACCCTCACCTGCACTGGAGAACTGTACAATGTTTGAAGCTATGGTGCAGGCTGGTACCAACAGGTTCCCGGTGCTGCCCCCAAAGCTGTGATGCTCAGAAGTACTCGGCCCTCAGGGATCCCAGATCGGTTCTCTGGCTCCAAGTCCGGCAGCACAGCCTCTCTGACCATCACGGGCCTGCAGCCCGAGGATGAGGCTGATTACTACTGTTCAACATGGGATGATAGCAATCACACAGTGCTCCAGCCTCATGGGGAACCGGGACAAAAACCCGCCGTGTTTCCATGATCGCCCCATCACGCCTGAGACAGACAAAGAGGATGATGTGGGAGACCCTAGCAGGGGTGTCCCACATTTTGGCATCTCTGGGCAACACTCGAAGAAGCAGAGTTGTCTTGGGCTGAACATTAAATATAATGAGACATGTAATCACCAAAAAATCTCATAACATTTTAAGTAAATTTGCTATTTTTGTTGGGCTGCATTCATAGCCATCCTGGCCACATGCAGAGCCCAGGCCAGGGTTGGACACCCCTGCTTAGAACGTCTGACTCTAAGGGTCTGACTTTGTGAGCAAAAACCCACCTAAAGTGTTAGTGGTAGCTGATTCTTCTCATATTGTTTATCATAACTTTGCTAAGATATAACTTGCACGCCATGAGTTTCACTGGTTCATTCCTACAACATAACATCATTTAGCATATTTACAAAGTGGTATTACCATCCCATATTCTAATTTTAGAACATTTTTATTCTCCCTCAGAGAAAGTCCCCCACATAAGTAATCACCCCTCATCACTCCTCTGTGGGTGCCAAGCCACTGCCGACCCACTTTCTGCATTTATATGTCCGTTCCCTCTCCTGGAGAGTCATGTAGATGGAAGCAGGAAATAGGTGGGTTTTGGTGGCTATCTTGTGTCCTTTAAAATTCTTTTGAACAATGTCCTTGAGGTCCCATGCATGCCGGGCATGGGTCAGTACCCTTTTTTTGGTCAAATATTACCGCAATGTCTGAGCACGCCGGTGTTTGTTGCCCATCACCTGCTGATGGGCATGGAGTTGTTTTTATCTTTGGCTGCTGTGCACAGTGCTGCTGAGAAAATCTGTGTACACGTTACGATTTTTTTGTTTTGAGTGGATATGCTTTTGTTTCTTTTGGGGAGACACTTAGAAATGGAGTTACTGAGACACATGACAACCTTCTGTTATGATTGTGAGAGGCTGTTAGATGCTGGTCAGTACAGCTCAATTGTTGACTTTTCTAGCAGCAAGATGTCAGGGCCTGATTTCTCCACATCTTCTCAGCAACTGCTCACCTGTCTCCTTTATCACCGCCCTTCTAGTCCGGATGAGTGACACCTCACCACAGGTTTAGAGAGCAGCACTGGTCGATCGCCCTTGTGCCTGTCCCACCCAGGAATCAAACCCGCAACCCAGGCATGTAGCCTGACTGGGAATCACAGCAGCCACCTCCTTGCTTTGCAGAACGACACCCAACCAACTGAGCCACACTGGTCAGGATCCTTGCTGCAGTTTTAACTTGTATTCCTTTAGTGACCAATGAAATCTTTCCATGTGCTGTAGTTATTGCTTTTCTCAAGTTTAGAACATTCAAAGCTCTACAGTATTTTATCTCAGTTATTGCTAGAATGACTCACTCAAACTGTGTTCATCCCTACACAGCAGGAATTAAGAAGGGAATCCCTCTCACAGATAGTGGGATGGGCAGTGTTCCCGTGTGAGGACCACAGTACTGGAAGGTCCTGTGGAATCGGCCTGTGATGGGCACTCCATCCGTAGCACTCTCAGGGGCCCTGTGAGCTCTGGGCTCTGGCTCTCACACCTGCCTCCCGTTTCGTTGTCCCCAGTTCCTGGAGTTCTTTCTCCAGCCTGACGTGCAGGTATAAACAGAGAGACTGCCACACCTCAGGATCAAATCTGCGTGACGTCTTGCTGGGCACAGGACAAGAAACAATTGGTGATGAGAGAGTTCCAGCAAATGGGCCTGAGCGGACAGAGGGCTGGGGCTTCCCCTTATCATGACCCAGATCCTTCTGCTCCTCACCATCCTCACTCATTGGACAAAGAGCTGCTGAGGTCCGCCCTGCCTGGTCTTAGGGATCTGTAACCACCTGTGACTATGGCTGAGTAAGAGGCCTCTGAACCAGGAGACACTAAAAAGACAAAAACTTATTTCCCTGGCATGAACACTGCCTGTTCTAATGCCTGGCTCCCTTTGCATGATCGGCAGTCAATGAAGGGTAACAATTCTCTAGGAAAGAGAATCAATCTAAGACAGATGCGATCACATGGGAATGCCCTAAGGGAAGAGACTCAGGGGGCTGTGGAAATGATGGGGTGATAGACATCGACCCTGCCCCCTAGGCTTTGCGACAGCCTAAGTCCTTGAGAAATTCAAGTCTCCCAGCTGCCTTTGTCTCCTCTACCGGACTCAGGCCTGCAGAAATAACAGGGGCGGTGCAGTCCAGACCAGAGTTGGTGGACCCCTGCGGTAATCAGGCCTGAGACATAGAATATGAGAGATCCTATGAGATCTGCTTGCTGGAGGATGCTCTTTAATTAGAATATGAAGGCACAGGCAGAAAACAAAACTAAATTTTTAAGTCCTGTAGTCTTTTTAAATGGCAAAACCCCAAAATCTCTGGCTTAGGATCCCAGCAGGAGATCTGCCAGCGCCTTTCAAAGCTGACTACTTGTAATTTGCAAACGGTATTTGTATTCAAGAATAAAAGCCTGTTGGGGCAAAAAAACCCAAGGAGCTCCCCATTAGAGGGAGTGGCCATTTCGTCCCTATTTCCCCACAGGACCCAGTTGTCTCTGTGTACGTTTTTCTCATGTTTCGATGAGCATCCGCAGCAGGGATGGATACTGCTGGCCAGTATCTGCCTCAAGGAGCTTCACTGGCAGGAGGGGGAGTGAAGGATGTCCATGGGGGACATTCACACTGCCCTTTACTTTTGTCATCTGGACATAAGAAGTGGGTTATCTCAGTCTTTCTACCACCTCTGTCCCCAGTTCCAGGGTCCTGGGTTCGACAGTGTTATTTCTGCCTTCATGCACACTCCCTGGGTCTGTGTGTGTGTGTGTGCACACGAGTGTGTTGGGGGGGATGATCTCTGATGCTGAATCTATGTCAGAAAGCATAACGACACACTTCTGGCAAATGTTCAAGAAGGTGTTCCAGGATACTCTTCCTATGGAGTAGCCATTCTCTGTCTCCTAGCTTTATTAATAAACTCACTTTCACTTTAAACTCCAAAAAAGAAGGTGTTTCAAATACCTGAAATAGAGGTACATGGTCTAATCTAATTCACTAATTATCGAAAAAGCAGAAACCCCCAAACAGGAACAGTCTGAGGTTTCAAAATTATAGGACATCATTTATGAGCATAGGTGGAAAAATTCCTCAACATGCCAGTAGAACCCATGTTATATCTAGAAAGATTTACTTGACCACGAGGGAGGACATGGGCTGAAGCTAGGGCATATGGCATGTTTCCGAGGAACGGAAACACGGATTTTGGAGGAAGAGCAAATATGAAGAAGTAATGAACCACATGGGAAATGCCCCATTCAGAGCTCTCACTGGTGTTGCTGTGACACACCATAATAGGACAAGATGGTGTAACCGGACACGATATCATGGACTCACTGATACTGCACCCCATGGTCCATAAAGTGCATCAGCGCGGTCCTTCGGAGATAAACAGCTCAGCCTAAAGGAAAGCTCTTACCTGGGTGAGGCAGCATCACCCCAGAGCCACCAGGGGGCGCTGCGCTCCACTCCTTCCTGCATTGTGACGGGTTCCTGGGCCCCCGAGTTCTCTCATATTCATTCTTGCAACCCTCAGTTCAGCACTCCCTCCCAATTGCAGCCCAATTTCCCCACGGCAGAGAACTGCTTTCAACCCTAGTGTCTCAGACAATTTCCGAAGAGACTCAGGGCTCCCTCCAGAGGTCAGGAACCCTGAGGGCAGCGGGTAGGACCCAGTGTGTTAACGAGGACACTCACGGTCAAGGCTGTGGTCCTTTGTCACATATTCAGATATGTCTGGCTGGCAGATTCTCACTTATTTCAGGGACAGTAATTCCTAATAACTTCTGGAAACTGATGTTGTTTATATATTGAGATATTTCAATTACCGTTCAAATGATTTATTTTTACCTTAAATTTTAGATCCTTCTCATTTCAAGATATAACATATATAATTACATAATTATCTCTATGGCATCAAATGCGAATTTGGTTACTATACACATACAGTATTTCAGTAGGAATCATTTTGTCTGATATAAGTTGAGCATCACGAACACAGTGATGAGAATAAAAAGTACATTCAAATTTCATTAATCAGTTTACTGGCAATTAAGAAATAAATATGAAATCATACCTTTTATTTCACACTGCAATGAAAACAATTGAGGGCATTGTCTTCACCAAATACTGGAAAAACTTTGCTCCTGCCACCTTCCCTCCCCCCAAGTCTCCCTCCTTCCTGTCCATTCCTTCTGCTCCACAGGGGACAGTGGGGACACAGGTGGTTAAAATGCCCCGTGGTGTTCACACCAACTAGTCTAGGCACCGTGTGACTCTCTTGTTTTTGTTTTTTAATTATTAGGCATATTTTTCTTATTTTGTTATATCCCTTGTTTGTTGGGATAAATCTGGTAATGTAATGGCGATGCTGTTGCCTTTCTCCTCAAAGGCAGCGATGTGGAGGATATTCCGTGCACTAGGACGACAGAGAGCTGAGGGGAGCTGGCACCCACGCCTGGGGAGACAGCTCCAGCCCTGGTCCCCTGACGGCTGCACCCAGAGAGCTGACAGGGCTGAGTCGGTGGGAGACTCGTGTCCCTTCACACCCCTGACACTAGCTCTGCGATTCCCTAGTGGTCTCAGTGCTGGAGGCAGGAGACCTGCTAAGAATCCACAGGGAGGGCAGGAAGGGGTTTTACTAGAGAGGCCAGAACATGTTCAGAAGGATGGGTTAGGTTTGGGAGAAACAAAGCCACTGGGGCAGGAGGGTGAGACCACACACAGGTCACTGTTCAGTCCTCCCCCTTTCCAGAGGGGAAGTAAGGACCGAGGTCCCCAGGAACTTGGGAAGCTGCTTGGGTGGAAGACATCCAGCCCCCTCACTCAGTGTCTCAGTCACTGTTCTCTGTGCGGGGTGCCAGCATCTGCCTCTTTCCACATCTCCCCAGGGGACTTCAGGGTGACACCGGGGCGGCAAGACAGAGGAAGCTGATTTGCATGAAGCACATTCTCCTCCTAGTGGGTCTGGGAGGCATGAAAAGGCCCCAAGGACACCACCCTCCAGCCCAGGAGCCTGAGGAGGCCGTGTCCTATGAGTGTCCCCACCATGGCCTGGACAGTTCTCCTGCTGGGGCTCCTTGCTTTCAGCTCAGGTCAGAGGAAGGGACTCTGCATTCTTGGGGGACACAGCAAAGCAGGTTCTCATAATTACTCTATCTTCCATAACAACCCATGTCTCTCTGCTCTTGGTTTTAGGTGTGGATTCTCAGACTGTGGTGACCCAGGAGCCATCCCTGTCTGTGTCTCCAGGAGGAACAGTCACACTCACCTGTGGCTCTAGCTCTGGGTCAGTCTCTACCAGTAACTACGCTAACTGGTTCCAGCAAAACCCAGGCAAGGCTCCCCGCACGCTCATCTACAGCACAAGCAGCCGCCCCTCTGGGGTCCCTGAGCGCTTCTCTGGATCCATCTCTGGGAACAAAGCCGTCCTCACCATCACAGGGGCCCAGCCTGAGGACGAGGGGGACTATTACTGTGTTCTACATTACAGCAGCCCTTATAATTTGCACAGTGCTCCAGAGTCACAGGGAAGTGAGACTAAAACCTCCCTGGGCACCTCCTGCCAGGGAACCTCACCCCTGCTCTGCCTGAAACCAAGTCTAATGCAGGGCTCACATCTGTTGTCACTTCTGCACACAGGACCTGAGCTTCCTCTTAACAGCAATCTCACCTTTCCCAATCTCTCATTGAGACTCACCATCATCACTATGTCTCAGCTGTTCCTGTCTCAGAGGCAGAGAGTCCTTTTAGAGAGAAACGTTCCCTAGTTATTGGTACTGGCCGTGCCCAGCCCTGAGTCCCGTTGGAATGATGGGGAGCTCAGGAGTGGGAAAATTTTAGTTTAAGGTCCTAGTTAATAAGCCTAGTTGTTAATGCACGTGAAAAGCTATTGTTTCGAGAACTGCAGGTATGGCCCACCCTGACTCCAGGAAACCACAGCCACGGACCTTCATGCTCCTCAAGAGACAGTAAGTGATCAGGGTGGCCTCTGAGCCATTGTGTTCCAGGCAGAGACAGGGGCACAGCTAACCCTCAGGGTGAGCATGCTGTAGGTTTTTTAAATCTAATTTTCCCTGAATTCCAAACTCCTCACCACACTTTGTTCTCTGTTATAAAAAGGCTGGATTTAAAGGAAGTGTAGGACAGTCTGTTACGGTACAACCACACCCTCTGCTCAGCTCTCCAGCCATCTGGATAAGCTGCCCATAAAGATTCAATCCCCGTCTCTGCTTATTGGGTCTGGTAGGTGACAGGCAGCCCAAACGCCAGCTTTTCTAGTTTCAGAGACTCAGTGATAGTTCTTCGCTAAATGTTTTAATGAGCTTTCAGATACAAAAGCATCCTACAGAAATAAGCAGCAATTTCACACTAAGAAGGAATCATCACAAATTAACAAGAAAACAAAAGTTAACAATAAATTTAAAAAGAAACATTTATACTGGTCCTCACTGGGTGGCTCAATTGCCTGGAGCATCATCACATTCACAAAAAGGTCACATGCTCATTTCCCAGACAAGGCACATACCTAGGTTACAGGTGTGACGCCCAGTGGAAGAGCATACGAAAGGCAACATATCAGTGTTTCCTTCTCACATGTGTGTGTCTGTCTGTCTCTCTCCCCTCTTTCTCTTGTCCTCTCTGTCTAAAATCAACAAAATCACCACATCCTTGAGCAAGGATTTTAAAAATGCGAAATAAAAAAAAATTATAATGGAATAAAAAATAAGAAATACTTAAAGATAAATATAAATATCTGACCATGTAAAATAAGAGGTTTGAACTTCCCTGTTATACATGGAAAAAAAAACAAAATAAATGAACACGATTACTTTATGGTGTTTAGACACTCAATATCATCATCCCTATATGTATTTATATATTGATGGCGAGAACTCAGTTACATCTGCTTACAATGAATGACCAGGTAGAAAATCTCAGCAAAGAAATAGAAACTGTAAGAAAATAATAAAATACGTAAGAACTCTGGGAAATCACTGCTCCATGTCCATGTGACCTGCCTGCATCTGAGGGAGGAGAGGCATATGGAGTTGGCTTGATGTCAGGAGACCAAACCAGGGGGTCAAAGCAGAGCCCATGCCTCCCTCCCAGTCCCTGAGCTTAAGGCTGCCTGAGCACCCTGGGCCCCAGGGATGCAGTACAGGGTGGTGAGATGCCAGGTAAGGACACAGGATGGGAGGAACTCCAGGCACACAGTGGCCCAGACACTTGGCTGGGTACCTGGACCTTCAGAAGTGAGGTGATGGAGAGGAGGATTGGTCCACGGGCAAATTTCAGGCCAGGGGCCAGGAGGTCTCTTAATGGAACAGAAGAGGATCGAGGATGGTCTATATTTCCTGTGAAATTGCCAAGCCTGCTCCAGGGTAAAGTGGGTCCAGGGATGAGACACTCTGACAGTTGACATCTGACACCACTGAGGACCACGGGGACTCCTGGGAGTGGATGCCTGAGTCCTTGGGCACTGATTGTGCCCCCACCCCTCCCACACCCTCCTGCAGCTCTCCAACAGGCCAGGGTGGGGGCTGGTCTATAAGACAGCAGGAATGGGTGCTCCCCACTCTGTTCCTGTGTCACATCCCCTGTGAAGCTCTTGATGGACCCAGATCCAAAGTCACCTTCTCCTGCACTGGGAGACCCAGAGCCACAGGAGCTGCCATGGCAATTGTTCCCAGGGCACTCAGGCAGGGCCCCAGCTTTCCTACCTGAGACAGCACAGAAGCACCTTCCAGGGATTCAGCTTGATTGTCCTGATCCAGGTCTGTCACCAGAACCTGTGTGATCACCACTGGGCTCCAGTCTGAGGCTCAGGCTGAAGCTCATCCTTAGAGAGATGGACACAACCCCAATGCCACAGAGAGCTCCTGCTCCATGGGGACACGTGATCAAATCTGCCCCCTCCTCTCCTGTCTGATCCATCACTGCCCTGTCCCTGCCCCTGAACCAACACCAGCTCAGTCGTGGGCTTGTTTTGTCTCTTGTGCTACTAAAGCTGGGGGGCCGGCCCTCAACTCAGTCTCCCCTTAGAAAGTAAGTGGAAATGTATGCCTTGGGTTCACTGGTCTCCAACACAAACATAATTCTGTTCTTAGAAAAAGCAAAGTACCTGCTCAGTGGCTGAGTGGGGAAGAGGACAGAAGTGCATCATGTGTGACAGAGAACCGGGTGGCCAGTGCCCAGGGCCCTGTGTGTCTCCTTGCGCCAGCCTGGGCTCCCCTGATAGCTCCCTGAGCCCTGGGTCCTTACAGAACCTGGGTCTCCCTGTCCCCTGAGATCAGAGCTCTGCAGGGCCCCTGCATTCCCTGGGCTGGGCAAAGCCTCCCATGGAGGAGAGGCTCTCAGACCATCGAGTGCTCACTGTCACAGCTCAGCCTCAGGACTTCCAATGTGTTTCCCTCTTTAGTAGTTTGGGAGGAAGGATGTCGGATAGATCTTAGTCATTTGATGCTGAGCTGGGGCATGGATTGTATAAATTCCAGCCCTATCACTGGACAGAAACTTGATTCTCTGTTTTATATTAATCTTTGCACTGAAGAAAATAGTATTTAGACTCTAATGTCTGAAATGTATTAGACAGTCACAAGAAAGTAAGGCATCACCAGGCTGACAAAGGAGGCCAATGGGAACCCAGAGCAGTAAGGAAGAGCAGAACACAGGATCCCAGATAACGATTAGTATGGTGGACAGACAGGGATCCATGCCACAACTTCTGCAGTGGGGGCTGGGGACCGACAACAGACCCTCCTCACAGCAACAGCAGGGACATAAGTTAACCTGTAAGAATGAGCAGTGCACAGGTGTTCCCAGGTGGCCCTGAAATATCTAGTAACAAGCTCTGTGCTCTATGTTCTGTTTTTAACTCTTTAGAGGTCATTAGGGATGTGGAAAATCAGTGTCTGGGCCCAATCCACACTGCAGGGACCTACTCAAGGGACTGCCTTATTCAGTGACATCAGATAACATCCAAGTGCAGAAGTCATCCCCCACTGCCCCTTGCAGGACAGCTGGGAGGATCAGGAGGCCAGAAGCATGTGGGCTGTGGAGACAGTAGGGGGTGCTGTTGCCTGAACCTGAGAGGACTCCCTTCCTGGACGAGACAAGTAGGAAAATTCTTTTCTGAATCTTGCCCACTCAGGGAAGCAGTGTCCTCACAGTGTGTGACTTGCCATCACCAGGGTCCCCAGGAGCTACATGATCCCTGAGGTCTCACTCACACCCTTGCTTCACTTCCATCTCCCCCTTGAAGGAGTTGTTCCTGCCTGATGTGCAGACAGACAGTTTCAGGTGGACAGACACACAGCAGGAGCAAATCTGCATAAGGAAACTAGGCTGATGAGTCTTGCAGGACACAGGACAAGAGACCCTTGGAGATGGGAGAGTCTCAGTTCCTACAAGGAGGCCTGACTAGGCAGAGCGCTGGGGCTTCCCCATCATGGCCCAGATCCCTCTGCTCCTCACCCTCCTCACTCCCTGGACAAGGAGTTTCACTGGGAGGAATTGGGGGGAGCGAAGGATGTCCGTGAGGGACATTTGCACTGCCTGTCACATCTGGCCTCTGGACTTCAGTAGTGGATATTTCCAGTCTTCTACCACCATCTGCCCCTAATTCCAGGGTCCAGTTCAGACTGTGCTAATGTTGCCAACACGTAGTGTCTGGTCTGTGCACGTGTGTGCACGTCTGTGCACATGAAATGAGTGATGGCCTTCTCTTGTACAAAGTCCGGGTCAGAAGCTCCATAGCAGGTGTCCTTGAAACACACAAGGAATTATTCCAAAGACTTAAAAAGCGATGGCTCGTAGTCCAGTGTAATTCACTGTTTAGAGAAAAACCAGATATCTCAACCCAACAGGAAGACTATGAGATTTCAAAATTATGGGACAACATTTATGAGCATAGGTGCAAAAATTCCTCGACAAGTTAGGAGAACCCATGTTATATCAACAAAGATCTACACTGACCACCAGGAAGGACTTGGGCTGAGGAGGGTGTTTGAGAAGATTCTGAAGGATGGGAACCTGGATTTGTAGGGAGGGCAAATATGAAGGTGTACTGAAATGTATGAATCAGATTCCCCATTCCAGGAAGGAATGGCAGAACTCTTACTGGCGGTGCCCTGACACACTACAGGAGAAAGAGCTGGTGTAACTGGACGTCATGAATGGACTCATAGATACTGCAGCCCATGGTCCATAATGTGCTGACATCAGCATGGTCCTTTCTGGATAAAACAGCACATCCCAAAAGAAAACTCTCCCCTGGGCAAGAGGACCTTGGGTGGTCCTCTCATCCAAGGACCACCAGGGGGCACTGCGTTCTGCTCCTTCTTGCATTGTGATGGGCTGCTGGGACACCTGCATTTTCTCCTAGGAAATTTAGCCATCCTCAGTTCAATGCTGGTGCCTCATTGCAACCAGACTGTCCCCACAGGAGAGGTCTGCTCTCAACAGATCTGCCCCAAGAATACCTGAGACAGTTTACAAAGGAGGCTCAGGGCTCCCCCCAGAGGTCAGGAACCCTGCAGGCAGCTGTGAGGACCCAGTGTGTTCACGAGGACACCCACAGTAAATGCTGGAGTCCTTGTGCTGTCATCTTCTGGGTCAGCCAAAAAGTCCATGTAGTTTTTCCGTTCGATGGCTCTAGTAGTGCTTAGTTGTCTTTAACTCCATTGGAAACAATTTTGTCAGATTGTGTTATGACAGCTGTCATATCAACGTGCATTGAAAAATCATCAAAATGCCCTGGCTGGCATAGCTCAGTGGACTGAGCACAGGCTGGGAACGAAAAGTGTCCCAGGTTCAATTTCCAGCCAGGGTACATTCCAGGGTTGCAGGCCATAACCCCCAGCAACCGCACATTGATGTTTCTCTCTCTCTCTCTCTCTGTCTCTCTGTTTCTCTGTCTCTCTCTCTCTCCCCCCGCTTCCCTCTCTAAAATAAATAAATAAAATATTTTTTAAAAATCATCAAAACTGGTGAATATTTGTGCAGTTATTTTAATAATGATGATGGAAGAAGATATGCAACATTTTCAGTGTAGTACGCTTTATTATTTGAATACAGGTTAAAGCGCAACTGAAATGCAAAATAAAATATTTGTGCAGTGTATGGAGAAGGTGGTGTGAGTGATCAAACATGTCAAACATGGTTTGAAAACTTTCTGAGCACTATTAATATTTGGACAAATAATTCTTTGCTGTGGGGTTGTCTTATGCACTGGAAGATGTTTAGCAGCACCCTTGGCCTCTACCCACGGAAGCCATTAGCAGGAGATAGCTGACGTACTCAAAATATCCAAATCAACACTTATTGGTGAAAATGAAACATGTCTTTCATTTTATGGAAAAAACAATGGATTTTTTGGCCAACCCAATATTTAGATTATATGTCTTGCCGGTCTATTTCCCATTTATTTCAGTGACATTAATTCCCAATGATTATGGAAAGTGATGAGGCTTATATTTTGAGATATTTCAATTACTTTTCAAAGGATTTATTTTTATATTAAGTTTTACATCCTCATTTCAAAATACATATAGGCACATATAATTATATAATTATCCCTATTTCAAACAGTACACATTTGGTTATCATAGGCATATCATATTGAAGTAGGAATCATTTTGTCTGATATAAGTTGAGCATCATTAACACAATGATGAGAATAAAAAGTGCAAATTTCATTAATCAGTTTACTGGCAATTAAGAAATAAATATGAAATCATAGTTTTTATTTCACACTGCAATGAAAACAATTGAGGGCATTATCTTCACCAAATACTGGAAAAACTTTGCTCCTGCCACCTTCCCTCCCCCCAAGTCTCCCTCCTTCCTGTCCATTCCTTCTGCTCCACAGGGGACAGTGGGGACACAGGTGGTTAAAATGCCCCGTGGTGCTCACACCAACTAGTCTAGGCACCGTGTGACTCTCTTGTTTTGTTTTTAATTATTAGGCATATTTTTCTTATTTTGTTATATCCCTTGTTTGTTGGGATAAATCTGGTAATGTAATGGCGATGCTGTTGCCTTTCTCCTCAAAGGCAGCGATGTGGAGGATATTCCGTGCACTAGGACGACAGAGAGCTGAGGGGAGCTGGCACCCACGCCTGGGAGACAGCTCCAGCCCTGGTCCCCTGATGGCTGCACCCAGAGAGCTGACAGGGCTGAGTCGGTGGGAGACTCGTGTCCCTTCACACCCCTGACACTAGCTCTGCGATTCCCTAGTGGTCTCAGTGCTGGAGGCAGGAGGCCTGCTAACAACCCACAGGGAGGGCAGGAAGGGGTTTTACTAGAGAGGCCAGAACATGTTCAGAAGGATGGGTTAGGTTTGGGAGAAACAAAGCCACTGGGGCAGGAGGGTGAGACCACACACAGGTCACTGTTCAGTCCTCCCCCTTTCCAGAGGGGAAGTAAGGACCGAGGTCCCCGGGAACTTGGGAAGCTGCTTGGGTGGAAGACATCCAGCCCCCTCACTCAGTGTCTCAGTCACTGTTCTCTGTGCGGGGTGCCAGCATCTGCCTCTTTCCACATCTCCCCAGGGGACTTCAGGGTGACACCGGGGCAGCAAGACAGAGGAAGCTGATTTGCATGAAGCACATTCTCCTTCTAGTGGGTCTGGGAGGCATGAAAAGGCCCCAAGGACACCACCCTCCAGCCCAGGAGCCTGAGGAGGCCGTGTCCTATGAGTGTCCCCACCATGGCCTGGACAGTTCTCCTGCTGGGGCTCCTTGCTTTCAGCTCAGGTCAGAGGAAGGGACTCTGCATTCTTGGGGGACACAGCAAAGCAGGGTCTCATAATTACTCTATCTTCCATAACAACCCCTGTCTCTCTGCTCTTGGTTTTAGGTGTGGATTCTCAGACTGTGGTGACCCAGGAGCCATCCCTGTCTGTGTCTCCAGGAGGAACAGTCACACTCACCTGTGGCCTTAGCTCTGGGTCAATCTCTAGTAGTCACTACCCCATCTGGTTCCAGCAGACCCCAGGCCAGGCTCCCCGCATGCTCATCTATGAAACAAACCGCCGGCCCTCTGGGGTCCCTGAGTGCTTCTCTGGATCCATCTCTGGGAACAAAGCCACCCTCACCATCACGGGGGCCCAGCCTGAGGATGAGGCCGATTATTACTGTAGTTTGTACGTGAGTGGTGAGTCTTACACAGTGATGTGATCTCATGGGGAAGTGCAACCTGAACCTCATGTTCTGAGAATGGCTCAGCTTTAGTGACAGATGGAAAGAGAGAGGGTGGAAACGGTCAACACACACAAGTAGAGGGGGCTCCAGGGCCCCATTCCCATGTGCAGTGGCTCCTCTCCACGTGCCTCCTCCAGTCTCCTCCAGGGTGTGCCCATGTGTCCCATGTGACCCTGGCACAATGGGCTTCCTCTCCTCCCCTGTCCTTAGAACAATGATGGGGTGAGGGCTGAGGGCAGACACATTAACAATCAGAGAGACCCAGAGCCCCCACTGCCCTTGTAGTCCTGCCTGTGTTCCAGGAGCTTTAACAGGATTTACTCTCATGTTGATTTCACCCTGTGGACCTTGTGAGGGTTTTATTAGCATTTAAGTGAGGGTATCACTGGGAGCTTGCAGGTGATGCTGGTCCCCTGACTAGGCCTGCTGGGTCAGATCTGTGTGTGTGTGAGCAAAATCTGTGTTTTAACAAATCAGTTAGACTTTTTTAGCAACACTAAAGTTTGAGAACTTCCTCTACCTTTGCTTTTTTAAAATTATTCCTAAACGCTTTTGCTTCAAATTTACTCAAGTTAAATTCTAGGTCACAGTCTCTCCTAAACGAACCTTTATAAATCCAGAAATGTTCAGAAACAGGTTTAAAATTTCAGGTCATCAATGAAAACTGTGACTTAATTTTTTTTATTCCTTGTTTTTAAAGTGAAAACTACAACCACAAGTTGAGAGGATTTCCATGACTTACATGAATATTGATGCTTTGAGAGGCCACCTGTTTAGAAGTGGCTACCAGAAACACTCCTCCCAGCCCTGGGCCACTTCCCCAGGCACAGGGACAGGGGAGGGGCTTCAGGTGGTGTCTCCACACCCCGTTCCCCAGGGCGCCCGGCACTGGGCTGTGAGGGGAGCAGCAGAGAGTGAACCTGTCCTTTTATTAGCACTTCTCATCTTTGTTAAAAAGTCTTCTCAGAGAACCTTCATATCAAGGCAACACACAATAATTTTTTTTAAAAAAAGCATTACATCTAGTAAGCTAGAAATATATATATTTGAGTGTGATTGTTTTCTGTAATGTTTACTGAATTATTGGATTCTTGGAATGGTTCTAAAACAGAAAAAGTATATATATGGGAATTTTGTGAAATTTTAATAAAACCTGAATATAGTTAATATTATTTTACCTAAGTTAGCTTCTTAGTTTTTAAAGATAACCTTAGGTTTGCAAGATTATAATGCTAGACAAAATGTGAATGACAGGCACAGAAAAGGTTTCTATTATGCCTGTTTTCCTGTCAGTGCAGAATTATTGCCAAATGAAAAGTTTGAAAACACTGACACAGGAATGAAGATACAGTCCCTTCTCTCCTGGGAAGGTGAAGTCCAAGGCCGACCTCTTGTGCAGGGCCAGGCTCCTGAGCAGACAGTCAACCTTTCACATGTAAACCATGGCCACGTGTTCTATGTTCA